AGAAACGTCAAAGGAAGGCATGGAACCCATAACCCACATTTATAAAATCAACGGAAAGCTAATATTCAAACTGAATAAGTCCAAACGGATTGAGCTGAATAGGGAGATTACTAATGAACGGAGCATCAAAAAATACTCAATTGGGTCTCTCTCAAAGTAAAGTGTCACCCAGCCGAGTTCCAGTGGAAGAGGAAGTTTTTAAGCAAGCACAAAAATAACTTCTGATGAAGGATAGGGTTCGCTTCGCCTCTCACGCTCTCTTGCACCACAGCAACCACCTACCCAGAAGCACCTTCATTGATCAAGGACGACAATGTGTAAGGAAGTCGTGCATCTTGTAGTCGTTGGATTAGAGGTAAGCAAACCAGCCCGTTTGTCCCTCCTGCTGGATGCATTTGCACCATTCGCCGCCACCGCCTACCGTAATCGATGTCTCTTTTTAAATAATTTTTCCGCAACTAAAGCATTTACTAGCTGTTTTGCTTTAATCTGAACGCTTTTTTTTCTTGTTTTGCCTTCTCTCGCACATTATATGCTCCTTCTTGACCCCGACTTCATTCTTGTAGTTGTGAGAGTCTTGAATCGGTACATTTGAATCTGTTTTACTTAATTACGGTTCAATCACTTTGATTTTAGGGACGAAACGTGTTAGCCCATACGATTGAGCTTGTGTTGGAGTGAGCTTGCCGTATCCAACACAAAGAAGGTGAGCATGGTTGTTCAAACCTTTCTCTATATGACGTTGTTCTTTTTCAATTAAATGAATGTTGGTGGTTGTGTTCCCAGTGGGCAGCCCAAAGAAGAAGTCCTGACAATTGAACATACCGTGCATGTGTCAATATTTGTGCATGACTTCTATGTAAGTAATATGGATTCAATGCGTCTCAAATTCAAGGACTATCGTCACCAAGTACAGGTGGGTCAAACAAGGCGCTGTACGAGCGCTCGTCGGCATTGAGTGGATGCCAATTCTATGTCCTAGTTAAATTTCGAGGATGTTTTTTGGAGAATAATGAAAACGAATTCCTGAAGTAGAAATTTTCAGCAGCTGACGCTTCCACCTACACCTTATGACCTGTGATGTCGGAAGCCGAACGCAATGCTGAAGAGAAGGAAAGCAAAGGCTGAAAAAGCATCGGAAAAGGAAAAGGATATTATGTTTGAAAGCATGGACCTTGAAAGATCTGAAGAAGTTCCAAAATATTGAGGCTTGTTGTCCAACTTTTTGTTACTTTCTTGTAATAATCATTTGTACATGAACTTGCGTACTTTTTTCATTTTGTTGCGTGTGCTTGTTGTTGTTATTTTTGGGATTGCATTTCGTATTGCGGTTAATAGACGACTGTCACTTTAGGTGTTTGAGGTGTTCCTCGAAGCTCTTTGCTTTTGTCATTCCATCAACTCTTCGTGTTTGAGTGGATCTCCTTTTTGAAGTCAAATAAGTAAGCGATTATTATCACGCAAGTGGACAAAAATAAGTCTCCTATGTGTTGTCGCCAACGGATATGTGAACCATGTACACAAGGTTGCAGAACGTCCCTCGATTTTTTTCTCACACCAGGTTCGTCGTCTGCTAGATGCCATCGCTGATGGATTACTGCTTATGAAGCAATGTACATTACCAGTGAAAGAATTTGAAAGGGCGTCTTCAGTAGTCCACTGGTAGGTTCTATTTTCACATCATTGTTCTAAATTTTATAACGACTTCAAAAAATCACTTTGAGAAAACATAGTAAATATTGATTATGCTTGGATAAGAAGCTCATCCCAGCTCGTGGTCCCCAGTTATTTTTTGAGTGAAAACACGAAGTATATTAGGAGTGTCCATGACATCACCACGTTCGGTTATTTAGGTGGAGTTCGCTATTTTCTTCATCGCTGAGTCGTATTTCGAATCATGCTTTCTTCACGACAGAAACTGCTCACTGAAGTAGAAAATTTGAGTTATCATTCGCAAATTTGGAGAATCATAATTTGTAAGTTTTTCTGTTCTCCCCGATTGTATGGTTACCTTGTCATTCTTAATATGCATTATGTTGGATTTTAGGCCTATATAATTTGGTTTCAATCTCCTATGGAGAAGGCTCAAAGCAGCAAGGATCTTATGAATGCCAGGGTACTTGGTACATTGAACTTTGTAATCGTACCGACATAAAGTCAGCTCACTTTAGGAAATTTTCCAAGGCGGCAAAGGCATATGCCCTGAATGTAATATCGGACCGATGGCTCCGAGAAACCTGTACGCGCACGTCAGAGATATCCACTATTGGCAGGAAAAAGATGTCATTGTTTTGAAAGCGGCATATAAGAGAAGCAAAAATAATGAAGAGAATGAACTTCCCTGTGAATGTGGACAAATTTTTTTCACCTAAAGGGCTCTTAGCTTATCAGCAGGTGAGGTAATTTGCTGCTGAACTGTGTAGACATACAGTATGGGCCTTCGATATTACTCAAAAGACTTCACCTTCAGAAAGTGCATGGTCTTGACAATGAAAGCGGATGGGTAGTCTGTCTCGTATGTGAGAAACGATTTACACGCTATACCTCTCTCGCAAACCACTGCAGGAATTACCATTACGATTCAGTGCCTGGGCAGGATTATAATGTGATTAGAGGCCAGATGCAGAATTGGCAAACATTCGAGGTGCGCATTTAACAACTTTGTTATGGGCAACTTTTTATAGGTGGACCGAAAACTCGATTCTAGGACTGGAAACACGCCAAAGAGTTGGCTACGAGAACTAATTTCGTCACAAGGAGAAGTTATGAAACGTCAGAGGGGAGGACTATTATTTTTGTCTGCCAACGTTCGAGAGGAACTGGAAAGGACGTGGACGTCCTAGCTGTGCGCCATCGTTACCGAATACCAGCCACTGCACGGCGTTTTTGAATGTGTGTCAAACTAGTAGCTCAATTCTTTCATGGCATGAGTAGTGTTTTCCAGGTTGTTCAACTGGTCGATGGCAGTGTACAATATTTTGGATGCATGGGTCATATCGGGCATGCCGTGACTACCGCCACTCTCCCCTCCCGCCAGAAGATGAGGCTATCATCGTAGAAATGCTAAAGAGTGGATTGCCTTCATTCTGTTGTGCGTTATTCTAGCTGGAATCGAGTTTTTCCTTTTGGTAGGGTATAGCAGGCTTCATTTATGAGTACTTCCATTTGCAGATCCTAACAAAAATACGTTCCGAACGATGGGATCCACTCCTTGACTTTGATATGCAGCCGCGTATTTGCTTTACCACTCTCAAGGATATCAAGTGCGTTCGTATACTTTTGACGGTCACCTCGGTGACATGAGAAAGATGTTCAGATATATTGCTGAGAAGCGAGGCCTGGTGGAAGGTCGATCACACAAGAACGACTTACTTTCATTGGAAGAGCTCCTGAAATCGTCATCCTGATATAGTCGATTATGTCTACGTGAGGTCATCTGATCCTACAGGCGACGGTTCTATTTTAGGTGACAGCCTTACAAGAAGGGCAGTGTCACAAGACAGCGATATCGTCGTTGTGCATAATGTTATATTTTAGCTCTGTTGACACGAAGTGGTAAAAAATACTTGGAAAGATACGGATGCAATGGTCTTGTATTCGATGACACATTTGATGTAACACGTTACTGCTTCCGACTTGCGACTTTGCTTGTTGCGAACGATGCCGGCAAAGGATTCCCTTGCTGTTTCCTAATCAGCTACCGTATGACGTCCGATGAAGTTTCTGTCTTATTCGGCCTAGTTAAGGTAAGCTTCAGAAATCATCAAGTAAAACTTTTAACACTTACGAAAAATTCAACAATTACTTGTTTAGAAGTGGATCCCACACTTTAATGACAGATGACACAAATGCATTTTATAACGCGTACAACGCGACGTTCCCGCAAAGCAGAGCACAAAAATTCTATGCTCTTTCTAAAAGTGTAAAAAAAAGCTGAGTGAACTCTTGCAGGTAACGCCTATCAAAGTGATTTCTTTGAATCTTGCTTATAGGATACTTTGAAGTTCCTTATAGGCGGACGATGCAAGATTGGGGTTAAGGCTGTTTCGCAATTTATTCCATCAAGCAACACCCTGCTGTTTTTGAAGAACAATACGCTGCTTTCATCACCTGGCTCGCCTCAAAAAATGCTGACGGAGCTATACAAAGTGTGATAAAGCAGGTAGTATGCAAAAAGAGTAACTGTGTAGTGTAAGTGTACTTATAAAATGGTGTTGTAGTATATGGAAAGGTTCTATTTGGGACGGAAAGGAGAGTGGGCGCCATGCTACAGAAGGATAGCTCCTTTTGCCACTTCCAATCACGCAGAATCTTGGCATCATTTGCTGAAACATAATCTCCTGCATGAAAAACAAAACAGCCGCTTAGACAACCTTGTTTAGACGCTTGTGAGAGATAGTGCAGATTTGGAGCTGAAGCTTATTTCACAGGTGTGCTGCTTCACTGTCAACCTCTTAGTCATTTTTTGAATTAAATTTTATTATAGGCCATGAAGATGCTCGACGGACGGCAAAGGCCGACGCACGCAAACTTTACGAAGACACAGAGATGCTATAACGCATTACGCTGAGAGGCAGGTGAGAGGTTTTCCCTGCTTTGCTTTCAGCGCTTCTTGAAATAAAGCAGATGCGATTCTGTTTAAGGGTCTCATAATCCCACTCAGGGAAAATACGTGGGGAGTCGCTTCTAAATCAAAGGAGGAAGTTCTTTATACGGTGTACATAGGGCTGCCGTGCAACTGTGACAGTATGGTTCGTGCTTTAACAGTTAATTCATATATTCGTCCAATACCCTTCACATATTAACAAGGAAGTGCCGTGCAGGATAATTCCCATTGTGAACGTTGCGGAGTCTGTTTCTTCCAAGTGTCATGCGACTGCCCGGACTCAATGAACGCAGGAGTTTCTTGTATACATTGCCACGCCGTCGCGATTTATGCAACCTGAAGGTAATCTATTAGTCAAATTCACTGGGGATTTTCGAGATTTGCATTTTTCCAGCTCGACAACTTCTGCCGATCCGTACAGCATCCTCATTCATCCAGCCATGAAACAGTTTCGCAAACTTCGGCTGTCATTGTGGACGTAGAGGAGACATGTGATCTCGGCACAGAGGATATGGGCGGACAGTCGATACCATGTGAAACTTCAGTTGAAGTACTCCAGGAGATTTCACAGCAAGACGAAACGAATGTGGAATACCAGAAGTTAAAAGGAGTGAGCTCTACAAGTTGCATACAGTTCCACTTCATTTTCATTTT